GTTACTCAGTGCGTGAGTGAAATTTTCCAAAATTAAATAGGATTAGTGACCTTTATTTACCTCATATTAACTGACTGAACCACAAGGGTGCAAAATGCTGTTGACAGTTCAAGTAGTTTTTCCTATTAAATCGTTTGTCATTTTGAGTCAAATTCGACTCATTGTTGAGTCAGTCTCATTGGCCGTGTAATAGGGCTTCTCGGAAACGGAGGAGATGGGAAACTAAACTACGATTGGAATCGCGAGCGCGAAATCAATTTGCATAGAACACCCATATAAACTGGGATATTCGTCACCTCCGAGCTTGTTCATTCATTTCCGAAACCGTTAGGCGAGATGTTGGAGATTTGTTTGGAGAACCATACAAACACTTTCTCACAGTAACTTGTGTCATCCAACTAGGTTGAACTGTTCATAAAATTTTAAACGACTCTTTTCCATATATATATATTTGCATCACTCGGATTAAACCAAAGTTCCAAATTCCAGTTGTTAGTCCTAGCGGGATACGGCAAAGTCAACCGGTTTTCGCAAACGAATTGCTTTCGTTTATATGTTTTCGGAATTCTGTTGCGTCAATAAATTATATTATTCTGCAGAACTCCTAGGTGGCATGCATTGGAATTTTCCACGGTCAGTCGAGCTGTGGTCATCTTCACCGTCTTTTTGAGAACGCGACGCAAGTAAAATGTTTATATGGGTCATGGAAGATGGGATTTTGATAAGAGCAAAAAGGTTTTTCTATAACTTTGAACATTAGGAAGGGCCGCTTCTGAAACAAACAACCACTCCGAATTAATTCAGATACGACTTTTACTAAAAAGTAGCCGAGTAAGTATTTGCTAAATAACTGTCCCAAAGACACCAGTCCGCATCGTGCTCTTTTGCCGTGCGGATCTATTTTCTTTTTGCTGAAGGAAGTGTTACTAACTACTCAAAGCTACAACAAATTTAAACAGCACTTTTCAGTGCTCAATATATCTGTAATTTTTTTACCTTGTTTGACTCTTATTCCTCTTCGATCCGTGTTTGGACCCTACCCGAGGTAATCCTTCTTGGATATCGATTTTCAAAATTCCTCTTCGGTCCTTCAGGTTCTTATAGTAATCTGCTTGGAAGTCGATTTGGATAAAAATTTACTGCCGCCATGGCACCTAAGCGCAAAAGAAAAGGGCAATCTCTTGATCCCCCTTCGGATGAAATTAATTTGAGCAATCAATTTGATTTGCTCATGGATGATGAGAATGATTCATCATCCAGGACAAATTCGCAAACTTTTCCGGCTTAATGCCAAGAAGGAAAAGATTCCCCTATTGCGATAATCACTTCCGATTTCTATGCTCTTCGCACGGAACTTTTGAACTTTGTGAAATTTAAGCTTTCACTGCAAATTGGCCGTCGGGGTGAATGCCGTGTATTGGCTGAAACCTTGAACGGACTCAAATGTCTTCTCAAATATCTTACTGAGAAGCAGCATAATATTTTTTACCTACGACACCAAAACTCTCACGCAAAGGACGACTGTCCTGTGAAGGAAGATCCTAAGAAATTTAAATGCTCAAATTGTGGTGAGAACCACAATTCCAATTGTTGGGAATGTAAGACTTGCAAAGCGATCCTTCAATCTTGTTCTAAGCAACAAGTAGGAAACGCTCCACGTTTCCGTCCAGGTACAAAATCCTCTGCTGTTAACAACAGTCAGTGAGGAACAAATTCTACGTTCGTACCCGTAGGTACAAATATCACCCCTGCTTCAAATTCTTCATCTATACCTGCTCTCCTCACTGCTAACAATGTTCAGCGAGTAAATGGAGCTACCTATGATGCTATTGCAGCGGGTAGAAATCAAATGACTAGCCAACGTAATTCCAACGAAAATTTTGAAAATTTTGGCTTAGGAAAAAAATGATTTTTTTACAGAATTCATTAATTGATATGGTTTCTGATATGCTTAAATCTAACTCCATGTTTGATGCAATTCAAACTGGAGTAAAATTTGCGAACAATATTGTCATGACTTTGAAATTCAGCAATGGATTTTAAATTGGAATCCTCGATCTCTTAAAGATAATGAAGACGAGCTATTTAACTTTTTGAGAGTTCAAAACGTGCATATTGCCGTTTTAACTTATAAACGTTCCTTAAACCTGACCATAAGATTAAGAGGGATGCAAATTATTTAATTTATATAAATGATCGTCTTGATGCAGCCGGTGGCGGCGTTGCCATCATTGTTCAAAGACGAATCAAACATAAAATTCTTTCTTCATTTGAAACCAAAGTTTTTGAAACTGTTGAAACAAAATTTGGACAACTTACTTTAATAGCTGCCTTTTTGCCATTCGAATGCGTAGGTCAGCAAAAAAAAGCTCAAGGGTGACCTTCAGAAACTTACCCGTCATAGGTCTAAATTCTTCATTATTGGTGATTTTAATGCAAAACACCGCTCATGGAATAATGCTCAAAGCAATTCCAATGGTATTATTCTGTTTGATTATTGTTCTGCAGGTTATTACGCTATTCAATATCCAAACAGTCCAACATGCTTTTCTTCTGCAAGAAATCATTCCACTATTGGGATTGATAATCCCAACAGCTCTATTTTCAATTACCATAAAGCTGATTGGGAGCAATAGAGAACATTTATGGAATATAACTTCGATCCAAACATTCCTTTGCAAACCAAAGATGAAATTAATTATGCTCTTGAATCTCTGACTACTTCTATATTTGAAGCAAGAGCTGCCTCAGTACCAAAATGCGAGATTAAATTCGATTCAATTATAATAGACGACGATCTTCAGCTCTTGATCCGTCTGAAAAATGTCCGTAGGAGGCTATATCAAAGAACACTCGATCCAGCCATGAAAGTTAACTGGCGGGATTTGCAAAAACAAATTAAAAATCGATTCTCTGCCCTGAGGAACAAAACTGTTGAAAACAATTTTTCGAAATCAGACCCGAGTTCCAAACCCTTTTGGAAACTCACAAAAATTAAAAAAAAAAACCTCAAAAGCCTTAAGCTTAAAGCTTAAAGAAGGTGGTCAAATTTTGATCACAAATTCGGAAAAACTCAGAAACTTGCTAAGCAATTCGAGAGTTCCCATTATTTCAGCTTGCGTCTTACTAGTCCTATTGAGAATCAGGTTGCTCGGGATTATCTGAATATTTTCTCTCTGGAAAATATGTTTGATGATTCCTGGGGGACTGATTTGGACGAATTAAGATCTATAACTAAAAAAAATCATAATATGACAGCTCCAGGTGATGATGGAATTTTCTATATCCTTATCAAAAAACTCCCAGAGAGTACCTTATCTTTCTTGGTAAAATTATTTAACAGATGCTTCCATTTGGCATACTTTCCTGACAAATGGAAAAATGCAAAAGTTGTTCCAATTTTGAAGCCGGATAAAAATCCAGCTGAAGCTTCTAGCTACCGTCCAATAATTTTGCTTTCTTCAATAAGTAAACTTTTTGAAAAGATAATTTTAAATAGAATGATGCTTCACATCAATACGAACTCAATTTTTGCAGATGAGCAGTTTGGATTTCGCCATGGGCATTCAATTACTCATCAACTCTTAAGAGTTACCAATTTAATTCGTTCAAACAAATCTGAAGGCCACTCAACTGGAGTTGCTCTTCTAGACATAGAAAAAGCATTCGACAGTGTTTGGCATGAAGATATGAATGCTAAATTGAAAAAAGTTTAATTTTCCACTCTTTATTATGAAATTAGTTCAAAATTATTTAACTGACAGAACTCTGCAGATAAATTATCAAAATTCCAAACCGGATCGACTAACTGTTAGAGCTGGAGCTCCTCAGGGTAGCATTCTTGGTCCTATTTTGTATAACATTTTCACTTCGGACCTCCCTGATTTGCCTCAGGGTTGCCACAAATGTTATTTGCAGCGGACTGCAGAAAAGGTTAGATATTTTCTCTTCTTATTTACAAATATGGAAGGTTTCTCCCAACGCTGCCAAAACTCAACTTATAATATGTCCACATAAGCCTAGAGTTTCCTAGTAGTAGTCACATAGTCACTATGAACGGAGTTCCAATTTCCTGGTCAAATCAAGTGAAATACTTGACCAAAAATAAACTTTTAAAGATCACATTATTGAGGGCATTCAAGCGAAATGTAACAAATATATAAAATGTTTGTATCCTCTTATAAACAGGAAATCCAAACTTTGCCTGACGAATAAACTTCTAATATTCAAACAAGTTTTTAGACCGGCCATGCTTTACGCTGTGCCATTATGGTCTAGTTGTTGCACTACCAAAAAAAAAAACTTCAAAGGATTCAGAACAAAGTTCATATAGCAAGGACAAGGCCTTGATTTTATCACATGCAATGACAGCAGCTACCAACATATAGAGTACTTACAGAGTTGCTAACTCAAAATTCACGAAAACCCACCCACTGATGTGCGATTGTAGGCAGCATAATGTTTGTTAAGAAGTTATCAAGTTTTTCGCGGCTCATTATGTGTTTTCGATGCTCAGTTTTAAAGTATGAATCTTAAAAGTTTTCCATTATTTCACTATGAAGCCTTCGAGGAAATATCGCTTACGAAGGATCCAACTTTCTAAATTCCGTGCAAATATTGACTCACTGTGGATAGCTGAAACCCAAGCTGAGCTGCTACCCATTCATTGGAAGGAGAATGTAAATATATGGTTATCCTTATGAGACGTGTCACACGACCAGCGCGCTGCCACAGGATTCATTAGCAAACGACCGTCCTCGAGCCATTTCCCTTCAGTGATGTTTAAAATGGGGGGCGTATGTCGTTTCAGTAAACCCGAACAGTGTTTACTTTGGCGTACCTCGATATCGGTATTTGATCAGCACTTAAGTTGATTGAGTCTTTACAACTATGGGATATGGGTGTTTGTTTCCGCCGCAGATGCAATTCGATGCGTTCGGGGAAATATTTGCACTACCGGGTTAAGTATATATGTGTGGAAGCAAGAACCCGATACTCACCACCAGTAGACGATCCTTAGCCTAGCCTACAAGCTTCGAATGGCGGGGCCCTTCGAGGGCGCATCGGTTACTTCCCGGCGACGATGGCATCTAATGCGCCCAGTTTCGCTCCGTTCCGTTTCACCAATCTTGATGATGTCCCATGAACGCTGATGTCATTCGGGAGACCACCTTCCAAGTGGAATATGCAACTCTATGCCCCGATGATGATGATGATGGTGATGAAGATGTTGATAGCACCCGTCGTCCGTCCGTCAGTCTAGTTGCAGTACAGGCAGTAAGGTTGCATAGATCGGCTGGAAAACACAAGGAGAAAAAAAGTAACGAGATGGCCATTAGTGTCATCGTCAGGTAATAAGCTTGAGAAAGATGGTGCTGCCCGTGGGGTGATTTTTTTATGGACACGTGCACCCACCGCACTCGCCCATAGCCCGCATGGCGAAAGCATGGTCATGCGCGCACATTTCATAACGTAATAAAAAGAAAAAAGAACAGCATAGATGAGTGTTGCCGACGCGGAAAACTGAGCTGGGGATTATCCTATTATGTGTGACAGCTGATTAATAGGGGTTTATTAGCGAGCGACTTTATTAGCCTGGTTATAACTACGAAGGTGATTGTCTATGGAGGTGAGAAATGTCAACAATGGTGATTACCTATAGACATAAAATAGAAACCTGAAGAGATGCAAAATGGCTGCCTTGGGCAAAGTTGTTCATGTGAACAAAGCCTAATATCCTGCTTTAAGATTTTGCAATCCAATTTTGAAAAACATCGATTCGACTTGATGAATCACGAATTGTGGGGCGTTGACTGTCAACCAACCTTCTCAATATCTTGCATTGTGATTTTTGTTCAGAACATTTGCTGCCATCCAATATTCAAATCATAACGGTATGTGCCGCACCCCACCGATATAAAAAAGCACCCCTTCAAAAGTGCAAAACAACCATCAAATCAATGTACCTACAATGCCCCCTTTCTAGTAAACACATCCATTTAATCCGCTCACCTTACCATTCCAGAGCAAACAACTTCAATGAAGTATCACCCCAAGCCAAGTTAATCTCCACAGTCAGCCAGCCATCCAGCATCACTAGAGCAGAACCAGTCAACATTTTCGCAATTCTACTAGCTGCGGGTGCGAAAACCCTTTTACATTGTCAATGGCGAAAAGTGTTTCTAGACCCTTATTTTCCCGATACGATTTTCGTACGCTACCCAAACATCAGTCCCTCCGAACCCCATCCATGTGTTCATTTTCACATAATACATTTGTAATTAAGGGTGAAAATGTGCAAAACTCTTGCCGGTTGGAGGAATCCTTCCCGGTCGGTTTCGTATCGAACGTCTGGCACAGCTCACAACCCATGTTGGGGGATGCTGCCCTTCCGTAATTTATGGACCAATTGCACATTTCCGTCCGGGTTGTGAAATAACATGAAAGCACAACAATACCCTCACTTGTCAGTCTGGCAGTCTGGATGCAGCAGTGTGTCTGCTGGCTGGCCTGGCTTCGGGTTACGACAGCTCTAGGAATGGAGGATTTAATTTGAATTTGTCGAACCCTGTTTCAGGGGGTCAGGTTCCAAGTTCACCCTGCACTCCACATCGGAGAACGCTTGCATTGGCCGACCGTCGCAATCGGGGGCTATTATGTAGAATAATTGTTGTATTCCGAGATGGTGCGACACGTCCCTTGTAGTGCTAAATTGGAATCGATTATCTCATACTCCCGGAATGGAAAAGTTCGGATGCTACCCAGACAGTGTTGCTAGTGGCCATGCAGCATAGGGATGCCGTTATTGTGCTATTAATCGATTGTTGATCAATCGAATTTGCATTTCTCGTTAGACTGCGTCGTTTAAATATGCATGGTGCTGGAGATGATAAATGTTTAATTAAAACATAATAAACGAAGGAAATTTTGATTTTGTTTATTCTGATTTATTGCTAAATTTGGATCGATTAATCAATAGACTGGATAAACAAAACAAAATAACTAAAAATCTTGATGAATTGGTTTGTCACCAAAAGTATAATTGATAATCTTTACATTACTTGTGAAGTGAAAAATTTGGCATCAAATATTAATTATGAATAGCCTGAAAATAGCTTCCATAAGAACCAACAAATGTCATAACGAAATTGAAAAAAAAAAATTTGTATGTTTCAGTAGAGGGTTCAATAGTCGGTCAATAACTTTCCAAGCCTTTGATTTGGATGGAAGGGAAATTTCCACATAGAATTGTGCAATTTTACGAGTGACGTGAGAGAGTACGAAGCGAAAAAAATAAAATCAGACTTAAAGCATAACCTGTTGTGTTATCAGGTGAAACGCTGCAAGAGTGACATTCATATCTGCCATTCAGGACACATGAAATTTCGGTTTTCGACATGTATTATTCCAAATGCATGATGCATGCATTTTATTCTAATTATTCTATAATTATCTCAATTAAATCACAATAATCGATTATTTTCCGACATCCCTATTCGGAATGGGCAATCAAAGCAATAACATATGAAATGAGTAACACTGGTTATCAGAAAAATTGAGAACCAATTTCAATCCAATTAATAATTCATTGCTTAATTAGCCTCGATAAATCCGTCGACCGGTCGACATCATAGTACCGGACAATTTCGAGTGACAAATATAAATGAAGACATCATCCTGGTTCGCTTGTTGCGTGTTCCTGGAATAAATTAAAATCAAACAAATAACATAGGATAGGTGCACCAGTTATGGCTTTACGTTGCTATTATAATGTTTTTCCAATTATGGCCTATGAAATTTCGTACAGCCATAACTGGTACACTTACCCTACCTTGATTGTGTACATCGCTCTCGAATCGAACTCAGTAAATGCTCAAATATTGATCTGAGCAACGTCAAACAAACTACACGTCTTTATAATAAGCATTAGCGTCACAAGCCGTTGTGGACGTTACTGCCACTAAACTGGCCGAGACATGTGTAATAATCACATTGCCACCGTTTTGAAAACGATCGCTCAGTACAAAGCACACGCGTGGTCCATGTCGTGCGGTAATTATTTTCAACAAATGCAGCATGTACCGAGCACGGGGCTGCTCTACTAATCGTCTTAGTAAATGGATTGCATTCTAATCGATATGACAAGCCACACTACACTGACACACCATCGCATCGTGGCTAGAAGTGTGCTCATTTATTTATAATATGTATGCTTTCCTTTCGGAGTCGTGTCGTTCAACTTGCTCCAAACGGCTTCTTTCAACAGTCAGTCGGTGGCTGATGATCTAGTTTTAGATAGTGTGGCTGATTTATTAGAATATAAACGACATATTCTATTTTAGTAGCCTGTATGGCTGTCCAGTTTTTCTCTTAATAGCTGTGATCGTAGGAAAAAAATATTCACTGATGTATTTATATAGCAGCGGGTTAAATGAGAAAATGTGAAAAACTTCAATCTGTTGCATGGCAGTGTTCACAACAATTGCAGATTATCAATTTTGAGGGTGATGATGTTTTCGGAAACGTGAAAACAGATCTCTCCAAATGGAAATGATGTTTATTTCAGATCTAATTCATCGAAAAACAGGCGTTGAAGTAGACTACTACATCTAAGCTATTGCACCACCCGAAAGAGCAAGCATTCAAATGCTTTGCTCTCAATCTCATTGATGCTCACTAGACCGTCGTCGTCGATTTCATAAGCGCCACATTTCACACCTGTGCACCCAGCGGTCATAAATTACTACCAGCTCATTATGTAGAATGCGGTGCACATAAAATAAACATGCTAATTATCTCAGTACACCTCAATAGACCATTCACAAGACCCATTTTTCATCGGTGGCTGTCATTTTCGCTAAATTTCTATCGCTGCACTATTAAACGGCAATTTAGTTCACATTTGCCTTATCTCAACTCACTTTGGGACAGTATGTATCTGTTTTCGAACAAAGCAGGAACAACGCAAAAAGCAAATAGTTTTACCATTCCAGGTACAAGGCACCTACCCACGACCGATGACGACAATTTTATCACATTGCGTGACAAGTTCGTATTATATTGACGAGGTTCCTCACTCTTGGCCTGGCAGTGATGGCGCACGTGATCGCCTCAACTTTGGTATAGGACATACGAAATGCCTCTACACATTCCTACATGGGTCGTCTAGGAGCGCCGGTGAGCGGGTCGAAATTATTGATCCTCTTGGCAACAAACTTCTCCCCCGAAAAAAAAAGTGGAGCACTGAGCGGAGAGCAAGAGGAGAAACAGAAATGCCAACTAATGCCATCATAGGCATAGAAGTCAGCCGCAGCACCACCGTCAACGTTTAAGTATTTAGTAATGGGCCGGTCGATGCTGCATTCTAATGAGGTGACTTGGATTCGAATGGAGGTACTTTTCCATGCTGCTTTCATTTGACACGGGACAACGGCGGTTTTGGCGGATTAAATCAGCCGACGACTTTTGGAGTTGAAAAGAGTACGCAAAATACGAAGCCCGATAATTGTGGTGATTTGTACTGTAACACAAACGATCGCTCCACGATGATGATAATGATGATGGGATTTGCATGTCTCCGTGGTTTCAATAGTTGGATGAGTACCAGCAGATTGATTGCCGTGCAGTTCGCTGAATGAGAATCATAGTCAACCTTAGATTTTCCTCTAAACACAATCGCCAATTGGCTTCTCAGATAAGAATTGATTTAAAACGAGTTGATTGTTGCGCTTTTAGCCGGAAGCAATTATAGACTTTTCATCAACAAAATCGGCATTGTTACCTAAACACTCATAAATTCACCGTGTGGGTAGGCGCTGTTGACATATATAAAATAAATAATTGATAGCAACCATGCACAGACTGTATCCGTCAAATCATTTGCAATCTATTTGTTACGTACAAAACAGGGCATCGAATAAAATTATACAACTCTATTTACCATGTCTACGCAAGCCTACGCTACACTTCCTATAGTGCAAAATAGGACCATTTCATCTAAAATAGAATGCAAACTGCTTTAGATCATGTCTCATCGTGGTGCGCCAGAGAAGAATTGAACATACAACCATCTAAAACTACCAGATTATACCGTTTATACGAAAGAGAAAATTTTCTATAACATAACATAAAATTGAAAGGAACAACTTTAGAACTTTTACACACAGTCAAGTATCTTGGAATAATTATTGACAGCAAACTCAATTGAAATTCACATCTAGAGCCGATTGCTAATAAGGTTACAAATAAAGCAGTTCCACAGAAACTTTGCATAATTGTTTGTTATGAACAATATTG